TCTGTAAGAATACAATGATGCTGAGATGCAACCTAAAATTTTTCAGGTCTCATGGTATGAAACTCTAAAATCTCAAGTGAGCAGTTGTCCAAATGTTGAGCAAATTCATAGCTCTTCCTAACTGTTGTTTATTTTTGCTTGCAGAAGTAGTGTATTTGGAAACCCTCTGGCATCCAGACTCCAAATATTAGATGAAAGAACTATTTAGGGAAAATATATGCCAGGATACCACATTTTCACATACAATGTGAGCCATGTCGTATGCACATCTGGTGTCTAAAGTTCAATATTCTCTTCAATCAATAATTAATTGTATTTCAACAAGTCTTTATTCAATTCTTGCTATGTTGAGTAAACTTCCAAAGGTATGTTGGGGGAAATAAATAAAAGAAATAGTTCCTACCATCAAGGAGTTTACAATCTAGCAGACTTAACCTCAAATAATTATATTGACAGAAATATGACAAAATCCATTCACAGCTATATGAGTAAGTCATTTTGGACCTGATTTAGACGACCACTTAGGGCCCCTGTCATAATGGGATGACACTGTGGGCATCTAGAGGGGAGGGGGAATACTGTACATATGGTAGGTATGTGCACTGGAGTGGCCAGTGGGTAAACTGTAGTAGACAGACTTCAAGATGACTGCCATCATTCCCTCTGCTTCCTATATATGCTCCTCACAAATTGTAACGGAGAAGAATTTCCTCCCCTTGAATCTCCACTGACCTTAATGACTTGCTTGACTAAGAATGCAGTGGGAAGGACCTCCTAGGACTTCTGAGGCTAAGTCCTAGAAGCCTTGCCGCTTTCACTCAGGTGACTTTCTCAGGGTTCTGCTGTGGGTTGATTCCTGTGACAACTACATGCAATAAATTAGAGGCAGAGAGAAACTGATAACAAAAGAGCAGGAAGGCATTGCAGTGGTTCAAGTAAAACGTACAAAAAAAAAAGTGGCTTGAAACCGAAAAGTAACAGGAAGGCAGGAGATGATGGATGTCAGAGATGAGTAGAGGGGAAAATCCAAAAGACTCTCCAGTCCCTGACACTTAAAGAGCAAGAAAAGGTAGAAGTCAAAGTGGGTTCTGGGGTTTTAGAACCTAGACAACCAAAAAGAGAAGGATACTATTAATAAAGATTGTGATCCAAAAGGAAGTATGCATGGAGAAAACCAGAGGAAATTAAATTAGAAGTGCTGGGCAGCCATCCAGGGAGAACTATTCAACAAGCAAATGGCAATGGGGGTATCAAGTGCCTTTTGTGGGATTAAGTGTTTTTTATATCTGGTAGTCTGAAGTCACCCAAGTCCAAAGTACTGACTTCTTTTGTATCTCCACATGCTTGATGGTTTCTTTTAAAATTAAGCCCTTTTTTTTTCGGGCGAAAAGAGACATAAGATCCCTTACCAATAAGTGCCTGGCTTACAATTAATAGTACTTAATGGTAAATTATAATTGATTTGAATAAATTATTCTCAAACTAAAAAAATTTTCTACTTGAAAAATTAAATTTGCAGATTTACAGAAGTTATCTCAATGTAATTTTAGTTGTATACTTGGTGGCATTTCAAATTATCCACTTTAAAAAAAAATAATTCCTTTATACACTGTCAGAACACACAACTTGCTGGCCTGAGCTATGGCAACATTTGTTTCCATCCTGCCTGAAGGACCAAATGCCAAAACAAGACTGAAATCCCTGCATGTCTCAAAAGTTTACCTTCCATCCTGTATGTCCTCTGCACTCCTAATCCTCTAAATCTTTGTAGTAAAGCTTTTTACAATTGTTTCCTTAGGCAATTATATGTGTGCAGAGAGAAAAAGAAACATCTCTGTGCGTTTAAGGATTATTTAAGGCTAGAAAATTTATGACTTGTTCAGGGTGCCCTAACTTTTAACTCTTGTTGTACCTGCTTTCCACACAGACTACAAATGCATACACTACAATAGCTTACGTAACCTTGTGGACTCAAGCAGGTACATGGACATCTATTACATCACTGTGAGCAGATTATGGACTACTTTTTAAACACTCACAAACTAAAGTACGTTAAGTTACATAGCTATAACTAATGTTGCCAACAACATGATCAAATTCATTTACATGTGTTACCGAAACTATGGGTTTAGAAACTATGGGTTTCTCATCCTTTTTACATCATAATTCCTTGAAGACTCTTTTGAGACATTTTTTGCTACTCATCCCCCTCATACAATTTTAATATAACACTTAAATGTATGTCTGTTATGCACTGTTACATACCATTTTTATGCTATTTTTATATATTTAAAAAAATAGTACTTTTTTTTTTTCAAACTCTAAGACGATTTTTACCCTCCTAAGAAGGACGTCTCCCTCACTGAGAATGCATGTTTTAGTTAGATTAGTAATTTGTTACTTAAATAAGAACTATGCTTATAATCAAAATAATGCTAAGCCTTAGATGATTATGTAAGATTCATGAAGAATATGAGAAAAATGTGTGACCATACTTCTGAAACTTCTAACTCAAAGACTGAGAAGTGCGAACATTTATTTCACTTTCAGTACCTGCTAAATAAAGCTATCAAACTCTTCCATTTTAAAGGTTACCATCATTCCTCATTCTTCAGTGATATTACTGAGAGTGACTCAGTATTTGTGGCTAACAAGTAAAATATAGATTTTAAAACCAGAAGAGTAAGTAGTTCTATTCATGAGGTCCTCAAGTACAAAAGAGATAAAAGTAAGAATTCGACAATTGTTAAGTGCCCCAATTCACCTAACCACAGAAATAGTAGTAGCACTGACGTTTGATAGAAAAGAACTGTGAAGAAGTAATATTAAGATGAAGAACACTGTTTAAATACAAACTGTTTTAAAGGAAATATTAAAAAGTGACAATTTTACTAATAGTCTCAAAAATTCTATTAGATCTCCTCAATATCAGAGCCAAAAAACAGATTCCTTAGTTAATACACCTGTATCTCCTTTCTTCCTCCAGCATAAGTAGGACTAAATATCACTGCTAGTTAAAGCAAGGACAGTAGAGGAAAAAGAGAAGCCACAGGGTTTCTCACTCACTGTGGCTCCATCCCACACACCCTTCCATGCACCCGAGGAAGACGAATGGGGTGCAGAAGGGGCATGAATTGCTTATAGCAAGCATAACATATTTTTATGGTAGCAGAAACAAAGATCTTTCCCCACCAAAATACAAAAAGGAGGAAAAGTTAAGAGAATTAGGCCTAAAGCCAAACAGATTTATGGATACCACAATTTATTAGGGGCACAATATTTAAGAAATAGCCATGTAACCCCAAATATTTACTTATTTTAAGACAAAGAAAACATTTAGTAGTTGCAGTATCATTACTCTTTCATGACCTGACAATCTGAAAGCTTTAAGACTGCAACAAGACTTTCTTTAAAAAAAAAAAATGTTTTTATTAAAAAAATTTAACATTTATTTATTATTGAGAGACAGAGAGAGACAGAGCATAAGCAGGGAAGAGGCAGAGAGAAGAGGAAACACGGATTCCAAAGCAGGCTTCAGGCTCCGAGCTGTCAGCACAGAGCCTGATACAGGGCTCAAACTCACAAACTATGAGATCATGACCTGAGCCAAAGTCGGACGCCCAACCAACTGAGCCACCCAGGTGCCCCCCCCCCAAATTTTTTTTTAATGTTTATTTTTTTTTTAGAGAGAGAGAGACAGCAGAGGAGGGAGGGGCAGAGAGAGACAGGGAGACATAGAATATGAAGGAGGCTCCAGGCTCTGAGCTGTCAGCACACAGCCTGACGTGGGACTTGAATTCATGAACCAGGTGATCATGACCTGAGCCAAAGTCAGATGCTTAACCATTGAGCCACCCAGAAGTCCCCCTGCTTTTTTTTTTTTATTATTATTTTTTTTAATGTTTATTTTGAGAGAGAAACAGAGTGGGAGCAGGGGAGAGACAGAGAGAGAGGGAGACACAAATCTGAAGGGACTTTCAAGTTAAGATATAAACTATCTGTTCCAGTTAATCCCTTCTTTTTCTGGCCAAAAAAAAGAAATATAGGATTTCTTTGCCATTACTTCAGTGATACTTTACTGTAACTAAAAAATACTTATCTTCTTGTTCTAAGGTATGAATTGTGTATGTTTTAAGTCTCTACTTCTTGAAGAAATTTAGCCAACTAAGGCTTTATTCTATGCTTAACCAAAATGTCAACTTTATTACAGCAATTGTGTATTTTCTATAATACTATTATTCTATTTATTTTTAAATAATCTCAATAAAGAATATCTAGCTAAAATTATGAATTATCCTTTACAATTATTCTTTGACCCTACAATTTTTAAATACTAAATTTCTCGGATAGTAAAAAGTTATATAACATAAGAATACACTGTGTATCTGGGTATTGTGGGTACTGATCTATTGATATTTGGTTATTAAAAACAGATGACTTGGTTAAATAATTACCAATAAAAACACAAAACATTTCTTTCTAAATGAGAGGTAGCCACCAATTAGTCACTCCATTTTTAGGTCACCGGAGCACCCTTCCCAATTACCTTAACATAAACCCACAATGCTAAAATGAGACAGTCTGACCAGCACAATGACAAATAACTAGTAAACAGTTTGCAGTAAAATCCTTAATAATTAAGTTTCTTCCTTCATTTTAAAAACAGGATCAGGGATTAATGAAAATAAGGTAAGTAAAACAATGAGTTAAGAAAGAACATAACCATAAATTGTATTTACCATTCCATCCCAAAGATCTGTAAAAAATACTGTTATAATAGTTCATTCAGCAATCAATGTACCAAGCACTGTGTTAGCTATTAACACCGAACATGACAGCCCTGGGAGAAAATTCATTTTTTCAGACAACTTTGTACAATTAATAAATTGATTAAATAAAATACTTCCTCAAAATATATACTGGCTGGAGCAAAAAATGTTGAAAAGCAAGAATGTCAAGTCAGAACCGCAGCAAAAGTTTGTGAGAAATTATGTATTTACCTTGGATCTGCACTCAGCGTTATTACAGTTTTTTGTGGTAGAGAACTTTGTGAGCTTTGTTTCAAATCCTATAAAAATAAGCAAAAATTTTTTTAATTTTAATTTTAAAACCCAAGTTTCAAAATTAGCTAAGTAATAGTACTTACAAGAATCCTAAAAAGGGTAAAATGGGGAAAAAATCCTCTTTCCAGCTACACAAAGTCCATCAAAGTTCAAGATAAGTAATTCTTGTGTGTGTGCATACATGTGTGTGTGCATTTAGATCTCAGGACGGCATATGTCACAGGGACCAGACTCCAATTAGGAACCAAATCAGAGTCCTAAAGATAACTGTGCAAAAAGTTTTACTACTTTACCTTTGTATCACAGGTTTCATTCATATCCTATGCAATGTTTGCCCATTTGTTGGATTTTTTACCTTAATATGAAAATATGAAACCATAATTTGATTACAAGCATCAGTATATGAAAATACTGAAATTATCTCTGATTCCAGATGTGTAAGTTCCAATTACATGCAAAATTTCAAAGCCTATCATTCATAATAGACTCTAATGATAAAAAAAAAAATTACAATTTTAAAATATCTGAGTCGCCAAGTGGAAGTCTCAAGAGGTCTGCAACCAACCATTTTTTCAACTGTTCTTTGCTGTGGAATAGCATATTCTTCCTTTCAGAGTATGTTCTGTTTTACTGGCTCATCTGATCCTAACAACAGTATAAACTATGTCTGGTATCATCTCATCTTACAGGGCTCATAGATGTTAAGCAACTTTTTCAAGGCCCATGCGATCAGGTTCAGAGGTTGAGGCTAAAAGCTAGTCTCCTAATTCCTCAACCACTCCTCTTCTGTTACACACATCTGAGCACTGCCCACAGCACTCCATGGCCTGATCCTAAAACCAGAAGACAATTTAGGATCATTCAAACTGAAGTTCAGCAAGAACAGATTAAGGATTTACAGCAGCAGTGCAAACACCAAGGGGCTTCTAATTTAAGCCAAGCAAAAATAACTAATTATGATGCCCAGTTATCTCACCATATCATCTTACAATACATTATCATCAACACACTTAAGAGTGTTTTGGAAGCCTGTTATGTTTCACATAACAAAGTAAGTTCATTATTTTATTTTTCATGCTTAGATTTAGTCAGAACAAAATATACACCATAAAACAAATACAAACACACTGATAGGAAAGAAGCACACACAGATATTTCATATAAAATGATATAAATTCTAAGTACAAGGAAATCACAATTTTTTAATGTCTCTTTTCACTAAGCTTCTCATCCCCCTTTCCAAATTAAGAATAAAAGAATCACACACTTTTATGATAAATATAAAAGATATCAACTAACCATGTCTAGCAGGTTATCAAAAGAGTAAGAGTTGTACGAGTTTTTGTCCTTCAAAATAAGAAGTAGTGCAGAATATCCGATTATCTTCTTCAAATTCATTAAGGAATGAAAGAGTCTGTGAACCAAAAATGTTACTGGTCTGAGAAGTAATTCAAATATCTGTATACACAATATTTTCAGTTTCTTTAATAATAGTCAAACCACCATTACTCTCATCCTGTCTTCACAAAGTGCAACCTATAATGAACCTATAAGGAATTGATACTTTTTTGCCCACAATTAAGTACTTAGAAAAAAATGAGGGGGGTTAATCACAAGATACCACTAATAAGGATTCATTTAAAGTAGAAAACTTTCTGGACATACCTGAAACACATAAACTTATTCAAAATGATTCTTCTTTTTTCTTTTTTTTTACCTGCTGATACATTCTATGAATATCATGTCAAATAATAACACCCTGCATGATCACTCCAACAGCTTTAAGGCGTTCTTACCAAAAAAGCACTTTGATACTTTAGAAAATTCTTTAGCAAGTGTTGAAATAGCAAGAGAAGACATGAGTTTAACTCTTGCTCACAAAATTCAATCAGTATACACACTTCAAAAAATTCAAATTCTTGTTCAAAAAAAAGAGAAAGTTTTCACAAGTCTGGCTAATGAAATTGTCTTTGTCCCTGTTAAATTTTCTTGGTCATTAAAATTGCTAACTGTATTCAAACTGTATTTTTACGTTAGAGGAACCAAAGAGATGCATACCAGTCAACTGACTCAAGATCAATTCCAGAATATAATCTTAGGACATTACCAGCTATTGCTGAAACACTACACATAGGAAAAGAATTTGTTTGAAGTTTTTCTCAAGCTCAGTCTTGTTTCTTTAAAGAACAAGTATCCCTGTTTATAGAACAGTTATCTCTAAGTAAACTCACTGGAGAAATCTGTAGAGAAACTTGGTGACTCATGCTTTAATCAACCACGGAGTCTATTATGTTTTAAAGTGATTATATCATTTTCCCCAACATAGGAAGCAATTTTGCATCTATACGTTAGGAACATTTTTGCTGGCATGCAACAACATCAAAAAAAATTGTAAGAGAATCAGAAATAACTTCTTTTTGCAGAGCATTGAGATTACCTTCAAAGATGTAAGTGATCATAATCGTAAGTAAATTAACTAGGTAAATGTGTTATACATACACAGTATTAAAGTCTTAAGGACATGAGTTCAGGCCATCAACCAGCTAAGCTTCTCAGTCTATTCAAATGTTTTCCTAGATGATAACAAGTGTTCTCTCCAGATTAAGAGACAATATGAATGGCTACAACTCAGTTCTAGAAACAAGCCCCTCGATCTAAGTTTATTTTTATTATCTACATAGCTATCTTTATTAGGCTGTCTGAACCTGCAGAATAAAAGTCATGTTTTCCATCAGCTAAAACCTTATATGTATTACAGCACACTGAAGAGTCCTAATTAAACTGAGGGAATGCCACAAATCAATGTTTGTATCCTAAAGGCACACACACAGTTTTCTAATGAGATAAGCACTAAGTACTGATACAGTATTCCCCAAAGCTTTCTCAGGATGTATAAAGCTGTTTTGTTTAAGGCAAAACAAGACTACACACGGTAAATAAGTTTGGGAAACACTGGGTAAAGCAAAATTTTAATGTTTCACCACTTCAGCATTGTGGGATTTCTCAGAGCCTCTAATTTGCTAACATGCCCTTATCCTATTATTATCAAACAATTCAGAGAACATCACTTAGAAATCAGTTTTCTCCTTTGTTATCATTACTGCTGTTCAAAGCTGGTATTATCATGTTTGTTTCAATGAATGGTTTGATCTATATGTTTGGACCCTCATACTCACCCTTCGTTCATTTTTTTCTACCTACCTTAATTACAAGGTATAAACTGGCAGAATTTTAAATCTTTGTGTAGCTGACCTCATTATCATTTCTTCTCTTTTACATAGCCACATTATCCACTTTTAAGCTGAACAAACATTCATCACAAAGTGTCCCAGTCTAACTCATTTTTTCATGCCATGATTAGAATTAACCTTCAAATAGCCATGAGGTATTCTTGCTCTCCACGTTATCATTTTATAAACATTCAATCTACTGTTGAGAGAGCAGTAATGTAAGTATGAATCACCCTTAGATGGCAGAAGAGAAAGCTAGAAGGGTCTGGATCCCTGTTAGCATTGTGGAGCTGCCATACCTGAACCAAGGATCTGCAGAGTTCTTTCATACGGCATAAAAGAACAGAATTTATTCAGTTTCAAGTTGGTATTAGTAGCAGCCAAATGTAATCCTTAACTCATACACTTGTTCACAGGGACACTTCTGCCAATATCTGAATAAACAGTCAACAGTCCAAGAACAAGAGAACACCCAATGCTAGCTGCTTCTTTGTTTGTAATTCTCTAACTTGTGTTTTGAAATTTTCTACTTAAAATGTCTATGCTAATGACTTGATAATTGTGTATGACTTTTCAATGAAGTGTGAAGTGCTCGCAAAGCAAATTTACAAATGTCAAGTACAATTTGAGAATTATTGTGTCTTTTTTCTCTAAGATGCAATTTTGCACGGCATGTTTTTATACGCTAAAAGCGTAACCAAACATATGGAAGAAATAATGACAGGACTTCTGGAAAGGTTACGAGACAGAAAATGTCCTGAAGCAAAAACTCTATGACCTGTACCCAAGTCTCTTTCAATATGGCAGCCAGAGAGAGCAGGTATACAGTGCAGGAGAATGACTTTTTATTTCCTCTTAGAAACTCTGCTCTGAATCTAAGCACCTTCACTTCTAAACTCTCAATAAACCAAGAAGGCAGGAGCAGGTGAAAAGGAAAAAATGGAGGATCGGACCTTACTTTTATTTTTTTTTAATAGTTTATTGTTATACACACTGTTTTTGCAACTTTTGTTTTGCTTTTGTTTTGTTTTACAATACATCTCACAGAGATTTTTGAATCCATATATTAAATGTGTCTTTATCCTTTCTTTGTGTTAGTATTAGTATTTCATTATATAAATAACAACTTTTTTCTTTTACTTATGCTCTTAGATCAACATGTAGCCACAACATATATTTAAAACGAATACTTGTTTCTAACAAAACAAGGACTAATTTCATAGTACTCTCAGTATATTAGTAAAATATTTTCCAATGAAAAATATTTCTTCAGAAATTTTATTTTAGAAAATATTCACTTATAATAATAAATGTATTTGTTTTGCAGGGAAACCAGATTCAATAACCTCTAAATGCCTCATAGGATGGGGGTTGTGAGGGCAGGGAAGGAGAGTGAATCACCCATGATCTGGGGGAACAGTGGATGGAGAGGGTGGTGCAGACCCTAAAAAGCAAGTTAGTTCGTCTGATCCCATGACTGAACTATTATCATGGACCGATTCCAAGGCCATTTGCTTTGCCTGCAAATGGTTTTTAAGTTTTTGAGGATCTGACCTTACTTTCAAAAATGACTTCTGTGAGCGAAAAACCAGTATCACCAACCATTGAGTGTTTCCCACTTTAAGCCCAGCTCAACCTCAACGGATGCCAAATATATTTGCCACAAGAAAACTGAGACTATACCAAGATATTACCTTGAATGTATTCTCAAGGACTGAAGTCAACTAATGAAACCTTAAGATTTTTCCCCCCAAAGAGTCAAAATACTGTAACTAAAATCTTAATTAACACTTATTACAATTAGTAATATCAGTTGTGGATCAATTTTTAATGTTGACTTTATGTGCTGTATACACTTCACATATGGGAGCATTTATTTCAAAAAGAGTCACCTTTTAAATCTATATTATAAGAAAATAAGAGCATATTTTAACAATTTTAAAATATTATCAAAGCACACCATTATTGATAGGAAAAAATCTTGAAGAAAAAATAATCTAAATCATAGTGAAACAATAGTCAAAACTCCTTCCCCAACATAGGAATCTTCTCTACACTGATCCTGATGAATGGTAATCTAAACTTGGGCATGATGGTGAAAATCTATCCTAAAAGGTAAGCCTTTCCATTATTGGGAAGCACTATTTTACAAAGTCCCCTGCTGTTCTGAGCTAAAACCTGTACTCACTGTTTCCAATTCTGCACTGTGAAAACACCTGAGCTTCTACTCCCTCACTCATCTTCATAAACTTTCAGAGAGCTGAAGATGGCTTTGATATCAATACCCAGGCCATCCCCTCTCATCTCAAGTCCTTATATCATCCATCCATATATATCAAGGTTGCAAGGCTCTTCTACTTGCTGGGTATCTTCTAGGCTGATTTTTTTGGTCAATGTCCCTCTAAGAAACAATGAAGTATCTGAGAACAACCGGATATAAAACAGGAAATGAAGCTGCTATACAATGAAGTGTGGCTCTTTATCTCCCTGAATTATAGCTATGATCCATTTGATAACAAATCCTTGGTCAAGAAGGTAACCCCAATTACCACACAATATGTAAGAAAAAACACAATCAGTTTTATATTAATGTGTCAGTACTCCATTTGCAGAAATGCACTGCAATAAAAAGTTAGAACAGCTAGTATAACATCAAGAGGTTTCTTGAAAAATGCTTTGAAAACTGATGTTTTTCTATAGCAATACTTATAATGCATATCATTAGTAATATGGTCTAATGTACATTAGCAACTTCATCAAAGATATAAGCCTGTGACCCAAAATTTTTAAAGACTGTTTTATAATCACTTTTTAAATAATTATATTACCTGGTACCATAATCCACAACCACCCAATCTTTTGCAGTTCCTGTGATAGCATCATGATGTTGAAATAGTCCCAAATTTCTTCTGGCTTCTGTCAGTGTCGTGTAATGGGATGATGAAAGAAATTTACTTATCTTGTATTTCTGAGCTTGTTTCAGGGCGAAATAGTAAAGAATTTCAGCAGCCCTAGTTGCATAAAACAGTCATTAATTTTTATTTCAAAACAAATATTGACTATTTAAAACATGTGGTACTGATACATTTTCAAATGTGGTTTTTCAAAAACCCACAATTTCAGTGCTATTTATTAAAAAGAGATACTGGGGCGCCTGGGTGGCGCAGTCGGTTAAGCGTCCGGCTTCAGCCAGGTCACAATCTCGCGGACCGTGAGTTCGAGCCCCGCGTCAGGCTCTGGGCTGATGGCTCGGAGCCTGGAGCCTGTTTCCGATTCTGTGTCTCCCTCTCTCTCTGCCCCTCCCCCGTTCATGCTCTGTCTCTCTCTGTCCCAAAAATAAATAAAACACGTTGAAAAAAAAAATTTTTTTAAAAAAATAAAAAGAGATACTGATAATAAAGATTTCTATAAGACCATCAAGGTATCCATCTAATAAATCTAAAGCATTGATCATCAGAGAACATCACGTCTAAACTGATATAAAGGGCCCTTGTTCTAGACGTTCCTGGAAAGAAGCCAGTACCCACTGGCAGCGTGATATTTTTTCACTATGTTCTACGTAAGTTAAACCTATCTCAACACAGCAGTAAGAAGTGGTTAATGGTTTCTGTCCTTTCTATCTCCAAGATCAACACAAACACAAAAGATGAACTTCATCACCAGAAAGCCATTTACTCTCACATATGTACATTAAAGGAGAGATGGTGTGGAGATATATGGTCACATGGGTGGGAAAGTAACAGTAAAGCAGACGCAGAAAAATGATGGCTTGACAGCTCAGTGACAATAGCTAGTCTAAGTGTTGAATGATAACAATGTAAGTGTTGAATTCAACAATATAAACTGAAAGATGATAAAACATATGCTGTCTTTTCTCATTTATTTAAAAAAAAAGCACTTCAGCTTAAGAATAGTTTTTGAGCAAGAATATGGGGATTTATCATTTTAACACTTTTTTATTATTTCATCATCAGAGGATATGGTTCAAGATAGGCTTCAAAAGAAGTTCTTTGAAAGGAGATATGGCTTGATGAAGTAAAAAATGTCATAAGGCTCTTTATGCCAAACGTATTAAGGATAATGGAGAGAAAATCAAGGCAATATATAAATGCATAAAGATATAGGGAAAAAGAAATGTGAAGTACTTAAAAAAAAGAATTCCTTTAAATTTTGCAATAATTAAAGGTTACTAAATAATCTCCACTTTTAAATTCTAACCCTTCTAAATTCATGGCATGAGAAACACTAAATTTGAGTGAAAGAAAGTGTATATATGTTCATATATATCCACAGCACATACTCCTGGTTTTGAAAAGAATACACACATATAAGGATATTCCAAAATGTAAAAATGGGATTTAAAAATTATTTTCTTCTTTATACTCTTCTATTTTATCCAAGTATTTTTTTTTACAAATAAGCTATAAGATGAAGTATTTATTACCACACAATAAACTTATTTTCAAATAATTACGTTTTGATATTCACAATTAAATGGTTTTTTGTTGTTTTATTTTAAAGCAGAATTTTCAAAATATATTACCAGCCCTAAGTACTTCCATTTTAAGTATGCTCAATAAATTAAGATTGAAACCACATTTCGTAATTGTCACTAAAAAATAGGTGACACTTTCAAAAAATGTAGTGGTCCAAAAGAAATCTCTATATTACTTAGTACTTTCTCTGTTTTTATCATGGATAGTTTAGAATAACATAATAGATAATTATATTCTATTGGGTAGAAATGCATAAATTTCTCTAATATAGAAATACTATTTTATTACAAATAAAATAATATGTATTCTTTTTGCACATTTGTGAGTATCCCAGAAAATAGTCAAAGATCAGGTTTTTGAAATAATGGTAATGACACTTATGGTAACAGTAAAAATAATAAAAACATACTATTATACCAAAGTACAACGCTTGAAGAAATTCATGATTTTTATAAAAAGGCTTTCCAAAATGTACTGTTTCTACCAGTATATAGAAGAAAGTAGGTGTGACATTACCTTTTAATACTGAGATTCATCATGAAAATTAATCATCATGAATTCATGATCTGAACGAAGTTGAAAGTGAACTTAAGAGGAAAATAAATTAACTTCCTGAGCTACATACACATAGAAAGAGCCTCATGAGTTGCTGGGGTGGTTAATCTTTACCAAAAAACACCAAGACTCAGTTACTTACACTGTCACACTCCTCACTATGACAGCTGCTAGCCACATGTGGTTATTTACACTTAAATTAGTTAAAATTAAATGAAATTAAGAGTTCATTTCCTTAGCCACACTGGTCACATTTCAAGTGCTCAACAGTTACATGTGGCTAGTGGCTACATACTAAACAGTGCAGAAAAGAGAGACAGAATATTTCTATCACTGCAGAAAGTTCTACTGGACACTGATGAAAAGCTCTACTGGATAATGATGGTTTAGAACGTTTTTATTTTCTACCAACTTTTCTGCCTTTTCCATGTCACTGTACTTTTTCAGCCTATCACTCTGCCTCCATCAGTTCTCATCTCTTTCAAGTTTTGTTCTTCTAAGCAGAAAATCATACCTATAAGAAATATATTTCTAATAAATAAGAACTGAGATGGAGCCTCTAAAGTTCTCCTACATATAAAATACATTAGTTTTGGATTATGTACTTTGAGGCCCACATTTTGGCCACTGAGGGGCCATATTTGTTCCTTTTGACCCTTGTTCTGATTACTAATCTTCAGACACACATGCTGATGCCAATGAATAAAATTGTGGTGTGCAAACAATACAGGTAATTAATTACAAACATATAAAACATAAAATATAGGAGAAAATCTAATTACATAAACTGCTTTTCCTTCCAGAACAAAAACCCATGTAATAATTTGATTATGCTTTGGAGACATATCTCTGATTACATTAAAATTTTGCAATTACATTAAACACATCCTAACACTGCATAAATTTCATATATTATGCAAGACTCTACAAAAAGGCTATGATAATACAAAAGAGGTGAATAATTAATGTAGCTATCTAAACATAAATGTACCTTAAATGGGATTCCAATATCCTATCCATTCGCTTGTAAAAGGGTCTGGATGTAAAGTAGCCACTCCAGTAATGATCATCTCGGTCAGCATAAGTGAAAAAATCTCCACTTAGAACAGGGAACATTGATTGGCTATTCTTTCCACTGGTTACACCTTCTTTATCCAGTGCATCAAAGTAATCTGATAAAGTTCCAAACTGTATCTAATGAAAAAAAAAGTTACACTTCAATTATTCATCTCTACCTTAAAATTACATCTAGCACTGAAAGGAGAAGTTAATAATAAATATTTAAGATGTGCTTCAACGTTAAGATGAAAATATAGCTCAGATTTTACCAAACTCAAAAGCAGGGGGGAAATACACAGTGACTCTTTCTTTTACTTGCATCAAGTCCCAAATTAAATTAAAATAAAACTGATATACCTAAGGGGTTAGAAGAGCTATTTAGATATACAAATTTGGGAATCTGATTAACTCCTTACAAATCTCCAGAATTTCAAAATATGCAGGGGTCATGGCATAGAATTATTCAGAGATGAATGAACGCTGGGAGGAAGCAGAAAAAATAAAACATTTCATTTACATATATTTAGCTATAACATTTTGAGCAAAATGTTCCAGAAGTCTGGAATAACAGTTTTGTTAAGCATTTTCATAGGTCTTATGCACATATACTCTCCTGGCCTCCCCATCTCCCTAGTTTGAGCTCTTATAAGGGAGACTTCAAGAACAGCAGATCATTAAAAATAAACAAAACAGGGGCGCCTGGGTGGCTTGGTCGGTTGGGCGTCCGACTTCGGCTCAGGTCATGATCTCACGGTCGTGAGTTCGAGCCCCGCGTCAGGCTCTGTGCTGACCGCTCAGAGCCTGGAGCCTGTTTCAGATTCTGTGTCTCCCTCTCTCTCTGCCCCTCCCCGTTCATGCTATGTCTCTGTCTCAAAAATAAATAAACGTTAAAAAAAAATTAACAAAACAAAACAAAAAAGCAACTTTCTCTACCAGCAGGTAACACTGAATAGAAGTAAAACACAAAGAGTGACAAGAATTGAAAGGTTGACTGCTCAAACGAAAAGGTCTTCTGACTAATGATTTAAATTACCAGAACATAAATCCATTTTTATGAGCCCAAACTATTCTATAAATCAAAGGAAAAAAGAAACATTATACCAGACTATGTAAACAGATATTAAAAGGCATGGTTTTGGGGCGCCTGGGTGGCGCAGTCGGTTAAGCGTCCGACTTCAGCCAGGTCACGATCTCGCGGTCCGTGGGTTCGAGCCCCGCGTCGGGCTCTGGGCTGATGGCTCAGAGCCTGGAGCCTGTTTCGGATTCTGTGTCTCCCTCTCTCTCTGCCCCTCCCCCGTTCATGCTCTGTCTCTCTCTGTCCCAAAAATAAATAAACGTTGAAAAAAAAATTAAATAAAATAAAATAAAATAAAAGGAATGGTTTTTAGAAATAAACAGAGAATTTAACAGGGAATGTATTTCTTTGAGTAACAGTAACATTCTAATTTTGTTTCCTACCTTACACACACACACACACACACACACACACACACACACACACAGAGAGAGAGAGAGACTAAAACCATTTTGATTCAATGTGGCAGAAAAATAAGAGCAGTTAACAACAGTGAGTAGCATTCTAGTAGAGTGGTTAAGAACAGCACAGAACCTGGATCTAGGTGGAATGGAATTAAATTTCATCTCTACCACTTACCTAACATGTGGTTTTGAGCATATTATATACTGTCTCTGTGTCTTTGTTACAGATAATAGGGTCTAAGTAAAATGCTTAGAAATACAACTGGCAAATAATGGTGTAAGTTTTAGCTATTATTCTTCTATTGCCAAGGCAAATTTCAACTGGAAACACAATGATATTAGTAAGATAAATATAAGTTATCAGAATATAATTGTAACACAATATTTTATGACAGCAAAATAGATGATTTTAAATATTTTAATTAATTTTTGTATTAGCCAAGATGAATATACTTCTTTCCTGGCAAATTCCCAGGGCAAAGTTTATTTAAGTGGCCTGGTGGGCTTTCTCACAAACTTAATTCAGTCTCAAAGGACTGAAACGTAATCCTTCATGCTGAGGTTTCAAAAGAAATTATTTAAGACTAAATTTTTTTTACAGAACCTTTTGGTACCTCAAATAAAGTACATATTTGGGATTCCTAAACAAATAACTAAAAAAATAGTCAAATATTTTTTACATTAAAAGGCAATAAATAATATCTTAAACATAACTTTAATATTAAAGATCCTCAAACTCCTCTATCTGGACAACATACAGGAAACTTACATAAACTGTAAAAAAAAGTGATGATCAATAGCAAACTGACTGTCTTGGCTAGTTCAAGGTCCGTTTGTTAGCCATCTATATTCAATTACTTACTTTTGTTTTTCCTTTCACTAAAAGACAATAATAAATGTAAGCTTCCAGCTTAGACAAAATAACTTCAAATACCCTACAGAGAAGAGACATAACTAGATAAATCACAGAGGAAAAAAAAAAAAAAAAAAAAAAAAAAAAACACCAAAAAAAAAAAACAACCCACTTTTGTTTGAAAGGTATCTAAGGGCAATCAAAGCAGCCAACACTTGAATGCACAAATTCTGGAAAGAAAGGAAATGCAGGAGGGTTACTGTGTACAAGGTTAGAATGCAAAAGTTAATTACACTTTTTATACATGGACTATACCATGTTCATGGATGGCCTAATATGGATCAATATTCAAATTGATCCATAGGTTCAAAGCAATGCCAATCAAAATCCCAACTTTTTTTTTTGGGCGGGGGGGGGGGGGGTGGGCAGAAGAAAGAAGACTTATGCTATCAGACATGAAGACCTATTCTAAAACTACAGTAATTAAGACAGTATGAGATGAGTGAAACAGACAAAATTGAATACAGTCTACACAAGATCCACACAAATATAGTTTCATGCATAATGAATGACAAAGATGATGCTACAGTGTAGTGGCAAACTGGTCTTTTCAATAAATAGTGGTAGATATCCATATGGGCAAAAATGCCCTTTGATCCCTACCTTCATAAAATTCATAAAAAATCAATTCCAAATACATTACAGACCTAAATGTTGAAGGTAAAGCAATAAAGCTTCTGGAGGACAACTTCATAAGAAATATATTTTCATGACTATGAGGTATAAACAAAAATTTCTTAAGTAGGACACAACAAGCACTTATCATAAAGGAAAATACTATTATATTATATTTAATTAAAATGAAGGATTTCTGTTTATCAAAAGACAGTATTAAGAAAAAAAACAGGCTTACATAGTGGGAGACAATATTTGCAAAACTTTTATCTGAAAAAAAAAAGACTCAAAGGAAAACATATATAAGAACTATAAATGGTACAAAAAGACAGATAACCCAATTTAAGGAAAAGTCACCAAAAGTTTTAAATAGGCACTTCACAAGAAGGTACCTAAATGGCAACAAACTTATGAAAAGAGGTTCAACCTCATAACTACCAGGGAAATACAAAATAAAACAATCACATCTATCATAAAATATAAAAAATGAAAAACAATCTTAACTATACAAAGTCTGAGTAAGGAAGTAGAGCAACCGAAATTGTCATAAAATGCAACAATTAATGCAATCTATTTTGGAATACTGTTTGGCAATATCTGCTGAGGCTCAACATGTGCATACTCAATGACCAAAAATTTCCATCCCACTTTATACCCACATAAACTCACACTTATGTATATCAAAGCATGCACAAAACATTCAAAACGGCTTTATTTATAATAGACAAAAATTGGAAAACAACCCAAATATCCATCAACAATACAATGGACAAATTGTATCATATGGATACTAGAGATATTATACGGCATTAAAAATGAATATGCTGCTACATGCAACAATATGGATGAATGTGGCAAACACAACCTGGAGCAAGGAAATCCAGACACAAAATAACAGATACTTAAGATCCCCTTCTTGTGAAATTTAAAAAGAAACAACACTAATCATGATGACAGAAGGGAAAATAAGCTTACTTTTGTTAAGAGTTGGCAATGATTTGAAGGGGATTTAAGGGACTCTTCTGGATGCTATAAATGTTCTATGTCTTAAACTGGATGGTGATTGCATGGGATTTTTTTAATTTGAAGAAATTCTCTGTACACATATGGATTTGTGCATATCTCCTATGTATGTGATATTTCAATTTTTAATTACTTTAAAAATTGCCCTAGTGGACAAAGGAGGAAATGGGTAAAATACTAAAATCAGGACTTAATTCTGAAGAATCAGGTGGTAGATCCTTTTGTGGACCACAAGAACATTCTCTAGGAAGATGTATTTAGGGATAAAATACCCATATACATATGCCATCTCCCAATCAAGTGTTCGTATATGAGCTTTGTCTTTGAGGAGATTAAGGAGATGATTTAAACACAGACCCCATGCACAGAGTTCATACTTTGGTAGAGAGTCAGTTGTAAACATCTTGAATATACTTGATATTTTATTTAAGTTTATCTATTTGATACTATTTTTTTTTTTCCAATGTTTATTTATTTTTTGGGACAGAGAGAGACAGAGCATGAACGGGGGAGGGGCAGAGAGAGGGAGACACAGAATCGGAAACAGGCTCCAGGCTCTGAGCCATCAGCTCAGAGCCCGACGCGGGGCTCGAACTCACGGACCGCGAGATCGTGACCTGGCTGAAGTCGGACGCTTAACCGACTGCGCCACCCAGGCGCCCCTCTATTTGATACTATTTAAGTTTACTTAATAAACTTGAATTCTCACGACATAGCATGTAGCCTATCATCAGCTTTCTAATCTTCTAAACAGTAACATATGCTTCCTAAACAGAAGCATCTCAGCCCTAAGAAAGAAAAAGAGAAAACAAGAATAGTATTAAGAAAAGAACAGTGGAGCAACTCATTAAAAAGTGTATTATGCTGGGGCGCCTGGGTGGCATAGGTGGTTGGGCGTCTGACTCTGGCTCAGGTCATGATCTCACGGTTCGTGTGTTCAAGCTCCATGTCGGGCTCTGCTAACAGTTCAGAGCCTGTAGCCTGCTTCGGATTCCGTGTCTGCCTCTCCCCTGCTCACACTATGTCTCTCAAAAATGAATAAATGTTAAAAAATATATTTTTTTAAAATAAATAAAAAGTGTATTTTGTTAAAAGAAATTGTTGTATATTTTACCTGAAATCTAGGTTGGTATGATTTATAAGGTAGATTTTTTAAAATTTAAATCCAAGCTAGTTAGCATATAGTGTAATAATGATTTCAGGAAAAAATTTAGTGATTCATCACTTACATATAATGTATAAGGCAGATTTTTTAAAATTGCTATGCTAATTTTCATTATCCATTTAAAATATTCATAAATTCTTATCACAGAGAAAAACCTCACCTTAGGAAATTAGAAAGCTGATGACAGGCCACATTCTCTTCCTTTCTATAGTATTTTCACAGATATTCTACTGTCTCATGGGTTAGTGTATAAATATAATAAATACACTGGGTAATTTTCTTACAGAGTCTAATATATCACTCTTGTTTGAATGGTGACTCACGAAACATCTGCTAAAAAAAATGCTTTTATGGGATCAGGAAAATGTGAATCTATCTGGATATATGATATTATTGAATTATTAATTTTGTGATGTAATAATGGCATTATGATTTCATTTGTAAAGTCCTTATCATTTAGAGACAGATACTTGAAATGGTTACAGATGAAACTACATGACATCTGAGGTTTCCTCCAAAATCATCCCGGGGAGAAGGGGGAGGGGAGAGTGAGACACAGCTGAAGCTGAAGAGAGTGACCTAGAATTGAGCCATGGATATTGGGAAGGCAGGGTGAGGTTGGGGGGTGGTGGTACTTGAGTCGTTCTCAAAACTTTAGGGTACGTTTTAAATTTTCCACCAGGGGAAAAAAAGAGAACTACAGGCAAATAATCGATTGATTTTAGAAGTCTTCTCATCTAAGAAAAATGCTAGTGTATTCTCTGAACACAAGACATTCATTTGCAAAATTCAGGACATGTCCATCTGCATCTGCCAGTCACACTACTAAATCACCAGGATGCAACTGTCAGAGAGAAACAAACTTTCAACGCCGGTAGAAAAACAGGACATCACTGAAAAATGAACTTCACGCCTTACATGTTTACAGCCACTTAAAACTCATGCCTGTTTAATTCTATGGGAATGGGGAGAAAGGGATCACTTCAGAAACACAACTATAATACTAGAGAATTCTCCTCTGTAAGAACTACAGGTTTACATAAGGACCACATATTCAAGTAAATATTGAGATATGGGAACAAGAAACTAAGGCAACTGTGTTTTAGCCTCACGTAATAATGAGGCCTCAGCTTCAAATGCACTTTCATAATTAAATATTTTCTCATTACCTTAACGTTATACTCAGGATGAGAATTCATATAATCAAAAAGCAGCTGGTAATTCTTAAACTGATGATCCCATTCTGTGCGTTCACAGTAGCGAAAATCATCTCCCAGCGGGGCCAGGAGAACTGTGGTACGGAAGAGCTTTGACTTTTTTCGGTACTGGTCGAGAAGCATCTCAGCCCTACAAAAGAAAAAGGGAAAAAAGGAACAGTAGTAAGAAAAGAACAATGGGGCAACTCATTACAAAGCGTATTATGTTAAAAGAAATTGTATATTTTACCTGAATTCTAGGTTAGTATGATCTATAAGGCAGATTTTTGAAAACTACTATACTAATTTTTGTTGTCCACTTAAAATATTCATAAATTCTTATCACAGAGAAAACCCATAGTTTTTCTTATCCTTAGAGAAATAAAGTCACAGACCAACTTTGGCATATAATTACTAGGAACATCAATGGCCCTCCTGAAGCCCAGGCACAGATATTGGATCCTGGACAGCCTGTGTTTTAAATTTTTTTTTTTTCAACGTTTATTTATTTTTGCGACAGAGAGAGACAGAGCATGAACGGGGGAGGGGCAGAGAGAGAGGGAGACACAGAATCGGAAACAGCCTCCAGGCTCTGAGCCATCAGCCCAGAGCCTGACGCGGGGCTCGAACTCCCGGACCGCGAGATCATGACCTGGCTGAAGTCGGACGCTTAACCGACTGCGCCACCCAGGCACCCCGACAGCCTGTGTTTTAAAATGATTTGGTCCAAAAAGACAATAAGGATTTCTCATCTACATAAACTTTGAAGTTTGCTTTGATTTAACATCTCTTTCTCTAATTTAAGCTAAACTTGCCTGATTAAACATTAAAAAAATAGTTTGAACAAAACCAATTATAGGACTGTATTTCCTCTTCAAAAGGAAGAAAAACAACTCATTTAACACCTGCCATCAATAAACTCTGTATCTGTCACAGTGTCCTTCTCAGTACTGATCAACAAATCAAGCTTAGGAATTGAATTAGCTTTTCTGGATTCTACCTCCCTCAGCTCTAACCACCCATGACTCAAAAGGATAGCTAAATACTAAATGTGCTGATGTGCTTTTTTTATATTTCATATTCTAGTAATTCTGTAGGAAATCCTTTTGCCAAATGCTGAATTGGGGCAGCATTTGAAGAAGACTACGAATATAAGGTATTTAAGAGGAATGGCTTACCAAAATGAAATTAAACAAGCAGATAAACTCAGAGTAGTTCTCAATGTTGTAATGACACACTTAAGAAATTAGTGATAAATCACTAATATGCTTTTTACCCAATGTTCCAATTTTCATTTCAAGGGTTATTCAGAAGTAGGTTCTAATTCACAATATAAAAACTTATGAAAGAAACTCAAAGAACACCAATGATGAAAGAGGTATTTTATAGAAATAGTTAAAAAAAAATTTAACTAAATTTAGAATCTCATGATCTTTCTATAATGATAGTCTCTGAAATTGCTTTGCAAATATTAAATTATTAGCAAAATTTCGTAACTTGGTGAGTAAAATATAACCATAATATTCTTACAAGACACAGTTTTCTGAGATTAGCATTCAGTGGAGTACTTAATTCTTACTAATAATTTACGAATATTCCACACTTACCAAAAACAATTTTAGATTTTTACTTATAATTAAAAAATACATGTACAATAAGATTAATCAAACAGAAAGACAAATAAAATCAAAACAAATAAGTGAAGAAAACCAAACATATAAATCACAGATTATAAGATATACTATGTGACAGAGCATCCATCAGATCCCCCAGGCAACCAGAATAAAAAAAAGTAAGTGATCATTTAAATGAATCCCAAGGTTTACTACTAGATATACCATATTTTGTGTATATACACATAAGACACATAACAGGAAAGAAATCACAAACATTAAACGTGCCTTTTCCATTTAGCATCTGTCCTCGCGCCCAGGCTCCTGCTCAGAAGGTGTCAACACTGAGAAAGCCAAGGAACCAACCTATACTACCTGGTAGACAGTGGATATTTATTAAATACAGGGTACACTACTGACAAATGAACCAATGGATTATCACTCTGAAGATGTACAGCAGCAATCTGCTCTTCAATTCTTTCACCAGATTCGAAATGTCAACTTAACTAGAACCAAGAAAAAAATTCCCTAGAACATCCTACCATTTGACACGTAAATCATCATCATATGTAAAATATTGTGCATGAGAACAAACCTCAACTTGATAAAGAATGGTGTTTCTTTATTTGGGAAGTAGAGGAATCTGCTGAACTAATAAACAGTATCAAGTGTATCACCTGTAAACTACAGTTCAATTTCATTTCCTTTAGGTTATTAAAACCAAGCACCACTAATCTGGAAGGCCTGTGTTTGATCTTCATTCATCAAGAAGTAAAAAGGAAAGTGATGTCTGGATGTAAAGTAACCAGTAGAGTTAAGATTTCAAGACTTATAAGAAGTTTTAAAAAAAAATCTACTTAAGTATTAAATAGACTCTTTCATCTCTCTGCCCCCAGGTGTCCGGAAACCACTTGCAAAATCAGTGGAACTGACTGAGTGCAAAGTATGTTCCTGGGGGGCAATCTTTGAAGTGTCAGATGGGACACAGCCACAGGATTACACAAAATGGCTTTTTTCCCAGTAATGCACTTTAAACAGATAGGAGGACCAAAAAAAAGAGGAGCCTCACAAGGCCTTTGGGTGCACTGAGAGTCCCCAACTGAAGCATCTGGCTGCCTTCAAAGAAATTCCCTATCTTTGACCTCCTGAGCTGAGGATACTCTCCCCACCCTTACCTCTTCTTTTTCACTGTACCTTTTGCTACCTTATACTGGATTACTCTCCCATGCCTAACTAACCTAATCCCAGAAAGCAGGCCATTCACTGTTTCTGAGGGATTTTCATTGCTGTAGGAACCAGGAAAATGAAACCAGGTTGATTCCTAAACTTGGACACTTAAAAAAAAAAAATTATAAATAGATTTTGCTAGAAGGGAACTATGGCTTCAAGAAGGCTGCCATGATAAAACACTTTTGTGTGTGCCACAATGAGAAGCTCACAATGGAATATTTCATGGCCACAAGGACTCACTCAAGGCAGAGAGACCCAATCTCACCTTCCTCTTCCACACACAATTTTTAAAAAGCAATTTTTTAAAAATAAATAGACTTGACAGTACCTAGTGCAAAGATCTTATTTTATTTAAAAGGCTTTATTGTTGTGCTCTGCAATCACCTGGGGTGATTATGCTGGCACTCTATTCTCATTTTGTTGGCCTGGAGACTTTTCAAAAGTTCCCTGGGTGATTTGGGTGGCAGTGGTTGTTAAGTACTGACCTGCCTCACCCTTGCCCGTTTTAACCCTCCTGTGGAAGGTAGGATGCCTCGCTTCTTCTCAGCAAGCTGCGCTAGCATGGAGTTCCCTGAAACCATCAAACTTATGACTGGCAAAAAAACTGCACGTAATTATTGTTATATAATCCATGTATTACAATTTGATGAGTTTAAAAATATGTCTACACTTGTGTTACCGTCATGTTACTGAACAATTTTTTAAGGATGACATGTACAAGAACCCAGGCAGAGTAGGTTTGTGGAAACCTGAAATACTAGGGTCTTAAAACTACGGTTAAAGAATGTTCTGGTTTGTAGAGTTTATGGCTGTCATCATAGTTTAACTGTTTATAGTTTCCCATCTCACTCTCGAAAATTTCCTCATTTGCATAATAAATAACATGATGGATCAAAAAAATAAAATAAAAACCTATTTTACTTTTCTGGCATACATGAGTGGTTTACATTAAAACACAATGTTTTTTTTTAATGTTTTTTACTTTTTTTGAGAGAAAGAGACCGAGCACAACTGGAGGAGGGGCAAAGAGAAAGAGAGAGAGAGAGAGAGAGAGAGAG